GCAGTGATGAGGTCCACGCCTGGAAGGAAAAGGCCAGGAACAATGAATAATGACAGGAACCAATACTTCTTCCCAAAACATAGGGTCACAGCTGGGGACCAACTGTAATTAGCAACAGCTGAGCTGAGGCCAACTTGCGGGAGGGGGGCAGGGCAGAGGGTAGCAGCCTTACCAATGCAGGCACCCTAGTGGTGGCCAGTGGTTCCAGACGCACCTGCACCAATGCAACCTCCATGGATGGCAGCAATCACCGGCTTGGGGCACTGAAATGGAAAAGGAGGGTTGGGATCAAAGCTGGCAGAGGAAGGGTAGGCAGAAGGGATGCCACCCAGCCCCTAAGTCACCTTCTCAATGACAGTGAAGGTCTTCTGGAATTTGCTGATGAGGTCACGGAGATACCAGGCCGTGCGGGCTGCATCATCCCCTGGGGCCTGCAGGAGGTGCGCCATGTCCATGATGTCGATACCTGAGGCGAAGGCACAAGGAGGTTACGTAGCTCTCGTGGCCCCCACTTACTACCCCAGCCAGGCCTCAAAACCCAGGAGCTGTGGGCCCAAACACAAACATCACCACAGCCGAGATAAGAGCTCACGAAGGTCTGGGGTGTCTGGGATTTCCTGTGGGCACCAAATAACTATTTGCTGTTTTGTTTTACTCACGACAAAGTTTCTCTATGCAGCTCAAGCTGACCTCAATCTAGAATCTCCAGCCTCCGCTTCGCCCTGTGCTGGCAATGTTGACATTCCCAAGAAAGACCTTCTCCATGAATGGTAAGCTATTCCCATGCGCCACTAGGGGGAGCGCATGAGCCCTGTCTCACAACCGGTGCAGAATATGAAGTCCTAGCTGCTTTGCAGCAGTGGGAGAGCACTTGCCCAGCATTCATCATGAGGTGGGGGCGTGGCTCTGTGCTAAAGCATTTGCCTAGAACCCCCAGTGAAGACCCGGGGGCGTGGCTCAGTGGTAGAGCCCCTGCCTAGAATCCCCCAGTGAGGGGCTGAGGGTGTGGCTCAGTGGTGGAGCCCCTGCCTAGAATACAGAAGTCTCATGTTGGTCCTCAATGTGTTAAAAACCAATCCAAATAAAGACAGATACAAAGCCCTTAAATCTCATGCCTGTAGCCTAGCACTTGGGATCAGAGGTAGCGCACGACAATGACGTAGAGAGCATAGCAACCACCCTGGGAGGGCCTATGAGCCATAACAACCAGTTGACCAATCAACACAGGGCAAGCCCTCCAAGCCTGGAGGCACACCAATCGTAAGCCTGTGCGTACCCCTAGACACTCCCCTTACGCAAGAGGTGCTTCAAGTTCGAGGCCAGCCTGGTCTATATACTGAGTTCCAGGACAGCCAGGACTATAGAAACAAGTCTCAAAACCACTAAATAAACAAATAAGCGCTGCAGAGATTTCTCAGTATTTAAGAGCACTTGTTGCATTTTATGTTTAGTTTTTGTTGACATCTTAGAAATGCTGACATGATCACCACTGCCTTCCACGGTTCAGCATGCCACCCAAGGATGAGGAGAAGAAAGATGCCAGAAAGTCAGTCAAAAAAGACAAAGAACCAGTAAAGAAGTCTGGTGGCTAGGTCAAAAAGAAGTAGTCCAGGGTTGGAGAAATGGCTCCGAGGTTAAGAGCACTTGCTTCTCTTACAGAGGTCTTGAGTTCAAGTTCCCTCAACCACACGGTGGCTCACAACCATCTGTAATGAGATCTGGTGCCCTCTTCTGGTCTGCAGGCGTACATGCAGGCAGAATACTGTATACATAATAAATAAATAATTTTTTTTTTTTTTTTGGTTTTCCGAGACAGGGTTTCTCTGTGACTTTGGAGGCTGTCCTAGAACTAGCTCTTGTAGCCCAGGCTGGTCTCGAACTCACAGAGATCCGCCTGCCTCTGCCTCCCAAGTGCTGGGATTAAAGGCATGCGCCACCACTGCCAGGCCTATAGATAAATAAATCTTTAAATAAAAACAAAAAAAAAACTTGGTCCAAAGTTCAGGATAAGCTCAGCAACCTACTCTTGTTTAACAAAGCTCCATATGACAAACTCTATAAGGAAGTTCCCAGCTGAAGATTCCTGGCTCCATCGCCAGGGCAACCCTCCAGGAGCTACTTAGTAAAAGATTTATCAAGCTGGTTTCAAAGCACAAAGTCCAAGTAATTTCCACCAGAAACACAGAGGGTGGAGGTGCCCAGCTGCTGGTGAAGATGCAAGAACAGGTTCCATCAGCTAAACATTTTGAAAAATAAAACTTTATTAAATAAAAAAAAAAGTGCTGGGCGGAGGTGGTGCACACCTTTAATCCCAGCACTCAGGAGTCAGAGGCAGGTGAATCTCTGTAAGTTCAAGGACAGCCTGGTCTACAAAGCTAGGCAGAGAAACCCTGTCTCAGGGAGTTAAAAAAAAAAAAAAAGAGTATCTATTACTCTTTTGTGGGTGGGCACTGGGGATGGGAGGGTGTCTGGTTCCCAGGATCAATGTAGTAATTCACAACCATCTGTAATTTCTTTTGTGGGGGTGTTTGAGACAGAGTAACAGCTCTGGCTGTCCTAGAACTTGTTCTATAGACCAGGCTGGCCTTGAACTCACAGAGATCTTCATGCCTCTGTCTCCTGAGTATTGGGATTAAAGGTGTGTGCCACCTCCACCTGGTCCATCTGTAACATCTAATTCCAGTTCCAGTGTGTTAGGTATATATTTAGTGTACATGCAGGCAAAACACACATAAAAAATTAATCTTTAAAAAATACAATAAAATACACAATCCTTTCTGTGACCTCCCCAGCCCTGAACAAACCTTACTTCTGCTATCTGCTGCTTAGGACACAGTGGCCCCTATAGCCCCATCCAGTGCCTGTACACTTCCTGTTCCCTTTGCCAACAACTGTCCCTTTGCCAACAACTGCCCCTTCAGTGATCACAAGACTGCCTTCGGGCCTCCTTAAGTTCACACAGCTCAAAGAGCACCTTCTGAGAGGCCTTCACAGCCTCCCTCCATCTCTGGCTTCTACCTTTCTCCTGCCCATCTGTCTGATCCAGTAAACCCAGCCATCTTTCTAGAATGTCAGCTCTATGAACTGGAGTTTTGTTGTTGATGTTTGTGAAACAGAGTCTCACTCTGGCTGGCCTGGAACTCCCAGAGATTCTCTGCCTTCTGCCTCTGCCTTCTAAGTGCCGGGATTAAAGGCTGTCATCCCATCTTGGGTTTGAGAGTAAGGGGACCCCTGGAGCAAGCTGTCTAGCCAGACTAGTTTGAGAGGCAAACTCCAGTGAGACATGCCTCAGTGGATAAGGTTGAGAGCAATCAGGGAAGACCGAGGACATCAATCGTGGGCTAGAGCCTTCACACATGTGCATAAACATAAACAAAATGCAAAACATAAACAAAACAAAAAAGAATAAACAAGAGGTGGGCTGGCCTAGACAGTGAGATGTCTAGATCACAAAGAACCAACTAGAAATTTGACCATTGAAAAAAAAGAAAAAAAAAACCCGAAGTTAAAAACTCACTGGGTGTGTTTCACGGCAGAAGAGAGATGCCAGAAAAAAAGCCACGGTAATGAATGGAGACGGTTCCAAAGAGGGGAAAGGTCAGTGGAGGACTTCCATGTCTGGGGATGTGAGCAGTGTGCTCAGTTACTGAGAAGGCCTGTGACTATGGAAACACACTTGGCTCACACCACTGGAGGCTCTGAGAGGTCCAGAGCCTTGTCACGGGGTCAAAGTCCACTGTGGGAATCCAACTTCAGGATCCTGTTCTGTTGTACAAATATCTATATTTGAATTTGTGGGGAGGGAATTCTGGGCTTTATGCCAGCCCCTGAGTACATCCACATGCGAATGTTCTAAAGTAAACTAAAAAAAAAAAAAAAAAAAAAAAAAAGAGGGCAAACCCCAGGGGTGGCACCTGATGGGAATGTCCTTCTGTGTGCTGTGAATATGTTTCTCTTATTGGTTGATGAATAAAGCTGCTTAACCCCAACAAATGAACAAAAAACAAATCAAAAAAGAACCACGCAGGGCTGTTTGTTTAGATGGCTCAACAACAGTTAAGAGCCCATACTTGTTACTCTTGCATCAGATTGGGTTTGAGTCCCAGCATCCATATCAAACTGATCACAACCACCTGTAACTCCAGCCCCAGGGGCACTGACATCTCTGGCTTCTGTGGGCACCTGCACTCAAATAGATAGAGATGGTCACATAATTAAAATTAAGAAATCTTGGGCTGGAGAGATGGCTCAGAGGTTAAGAGCACCGTCTGCTCTTTCAGAGGTCCAGAGTTCAATTCCCAGCAACCACATGGTGGCTCACAACCATCTATAATGAGATCTGTGCCCTCTTCCGGCCTGCAGTCATGCATGCAGGCAGAACATTGTATACATAATAAAATCTTTTTTTTTTTTTTTTTGGTTTTTCCAGACAGGGTTTCTTTGTGGCGTTGGAGGCTGTCCTGAAACTTGCTCTTGTAGACCAGGCTGGTCTCCAAC